AGAGGGAACTATGGGTCTTCGTGACTGGCCCGACGAGTATTTATGTCTTTTGTTTATGTTTTTATTCTAGGGGATTTTGTGTAACTTTTCTTGTATTGGTTCCTTGCAATGGATTCAGTTGAACCCTTTGCACTAGGAAGTTTTTCATTGGAAATATTCAATTTTCTGACGAGATATTGGTGATATTGGTTGAAACTTATTTAACGATAATTCATAGGTACATTAAGCAACAAAGTTATTTTTATTACAATTGGATTAAGTTGAACCCTTTGAACTCGGAAGTTTTTCACTGGAAATGTTCAATTTTCCGACGAGATGTAGATGAAATTGCCTGAAACTTATGTAACGATCATTCACAGGCACATTAACAAAGCTATTTTATTTAAATATTTCACACAGCAATACAAAGTTTCATTTAAAATACTAAATACTCAACTTCATAGTTTTGCTGTATCAAATCAAATGGTGACTGAGAGTCACCTCTCGAGTGCAAAGGGTTAATAGAATGTTTATAGCTGTTTTGTGAATTGGTTATAGGCGACAGATACGAGTTTCATTATTGACTTAAAAAGGAATTGCTCGATCATTTATGGTGGTGGAGAGGTCCAAGAGTTTTTCGAGGGTTTTCCTAGGATATTTCGGGACAAGGGATCCGATAATGGAGGATCTTCCCGCTGGAAAAGAGCGATGAATAAAGAATCGGCTCGGGCGAAGTTCCCAGCGGATGCCGCTTATGCCATGTACACGGTGACCCCGATAACTTTAGCGCTCCTAATGTATTCTTATGAAGCCTGGCTCCTCCTGGCTGTTCGTATCTGTCGGCGCATGAATTCGTAACGTCGCGGCCCCGTCGAAATGACGGATTTTCTTCTCCCGCAAACAAACCGGCGGAATAACATGAATCCCGTAATCTTGAGTGTTTGTTTTAAGTTTCGGTCTACGAGCGACGCGAATAATTGATAACGAATAGGTTGTAGTAAATGTCGCTGGAATTGTCAAACAGGTTTCCCTTGAAATTACAACGACTGCATTGGAACGACATTCCTAAACGCGACAATATAAAAATTGTAATAAGAGAGTCTCAGAAATGTATTACTATTACTCCAAATAAACAAACATGTTTAAAAACTTCTAAAATTAGTAAGTTTCTATACAACTATCAGAAATTCACGTTGAAAATCTGAATATTCACCGATGATTTATTTGTAGATTACATGAAAAAATTTTCATTTTTCCTCAAGGCTAGATTACTATTACTCCCAATAAATAAACATGTTTAAAACCTTCTAAAATTAATAAGTTTCTATACAACTATCAGAAATTCACGTTGAAAATCTGAATATTCCACGAAGATCACCGACGATTCATTTATTTGTAGATTACACGAGAAAAATTTCAATTTTCCTCAAGGCTAGATTGTTTTCTTGGCACACACCCGTTGTACAGTGCACGCGTATGTATGTTTAAGGACGCATCTTCAAGAAAGGGAGCGGATAAAAGTACTTTTCCGGCTGGCTACTTCCCGATGTCGCGGGGGAGAGTAGAAAAGCAGACAGTGGAGGGATAAAGACTCGATCGAGCAGCTTCTATACCGTTCGACCGATTACGACCGGCGTGGAAATTGATGACCCCGGACGACGGTGAATCCTTCGAGTATTTACTTAATCGAGGAACTCGAATCAAGGTCCATCTCCTGTGAGTTACTCGCAGACATCCGCGCAATCAATTTCCCGGAGGTTTTTATATTTAAAATGCCTCGCTGTCGGTAAGTTTCTGCGAGCAAACTGATAGTTAATTAGCTGTGAACGTAATTTAATGGCTCCATCGACTCCGCTCGAAGTTTCCAATTTATTTGTTTTCCCTCTGGTGATGGGAGAAACTTGGTGCTGGAGTGTATATACCGTTCGAATTAAAGAGCTTCGAGGAATGCGAGTGCTAGTGATGGATTTTCGAAGCGTTACTGGACAATGGGATGTTAGCGTGTTTTAGTAGTTTCCTCGAAAATTGTTAAGACAGCGAGAAGTTTAGATTTAAAGCTTGGACATTTAGAAACTTTCAAGCTTTCGAATCTTCAGATCGCCAAACCTTTAAATTTTCAAACTTTTGAACTTCTAAGCTTTTCTACTTCAGAATTCTCGAATTTTTGGATTGACGAGCTTTTAAATTTTCGAACTTAAAAACTTCCAAATTTTTAAACTTGAAAACTTCTACATTTTTAAACTTGAGAACTTCCAAATTTCGAAGCGTTGACATTTGGAAATTATGAAATTTTCAAAGCTTACATTTATGAAACTTTGAAGGTTTCGAATTTTCAGATTCACAAGCCTTTAAACTTCCAAACTTTCGAACTCCTAAATTTTTAAACTTTCAAACTTCCAAATGTTTTAAACATTCAAACTTCCAAACCTCCCAATTGCGAGCCGTTAAAATTCTGAAATTAAAAAACTTCCAAAGCTTACATTTAAACTGCAAGTTTCTTTAAATTTGAGGACCAAGAACTCGCGAGAAGCACTGGCACTAAGCTCGTCGCTGGTAAACAGGTGTACACAGGA